GATTTTTGAAACTAAATTCTGCAATTAACTGGTTAAGCATTTCCTCTAACCTACAAATCGGACTCGCTTAGTTTCTGAGATATTCGGGAAAAAATATCGTTACCACTACAGTGAATTCTGTCCACAAATATGCGTCTGTAACGGTGTATGCAACCGTCGTTAACTTAATATTTCTGTAAATAGGGATATTGGGCTTGTCAACCCCCTATATAACGGGTGAATTTAAAATTCAAACTTAACTCATTTCAATAATTTTAAATTTCATGGCATCTCGTCTCAATGTACTTCCCGACTCGATCCAAATATCGGGTACCTGAAATTTTCGGATTCTCGCAGACATCTAATATTTAGTTTTTGAAAGATACATTTTGTTTATCAGTTTAACTTGTTAAATAATGGAGATTTTTCTACATTTCTGACAATAAGGATATTTTTCTTGAATGAGATGATCTAACTTTTAGGGTAAGAAAGTCGATAATTGTTTCATTTTGCATTCCTTTATTCCAGGGGTGGGCAAATAGCAGTCCACTAAGAGTTTTTTTGTGGCCCGCCAAAACAATCAGAAAAATCAGCTTTGAACCGAGATTTCCTTCCCATGCGCGACCGAAGATTCGTCTCCTATTTTCCACTAGGGCGGCCAAGTCAGTACATTGATTTTTATGGTACAATTTATACCTTTCTGAAATGCAAAGTTAACTAATGAATGCAATCATTTTAAAAGGTGCGGCCCTCCGCTAACCTCCGCTTCCACAAAGTGGCCCCCGAGTCAAAACAATTGCCCACCCCTGCTTTACTCCATAGAATCAGAAATTAATAGTCAAAGTTATGAGAGTAAATGACTCAAGACTTGTCCTATTATATACTGTTGTTTGTTGACTCCTTCCTTTTTCTTGAAGTTCCCTTGTAGGCAAATTAAAAAGCTTTTGAAAAATATGCTCGGAATCGAGTAGTTTGTTTTCGGATCCTCTGGAAACTTACTGTAAGCGTAATCACTGAAAATGGACCTATAAATGTAGTTAGTTTGCAAAAAGAAATGAATTTTAAAGAATTCAAAAATCTACTGCTAAAACATTCTATAAAAGCAGTAAATTGCTTTGTAATGTTAACAGAGAATAGAAAGATTATAGAAATTATTATCTTACTATTTCACTTTACTTTATCTGGTAATTGTATTAAAATTATACTCAAGTATTTGCTTGATTTTTTTAGGCACGGAGTTTTCAGCGAAGGAACCAGATCAGCATGAAAAAGAAAGTTCAAATTCGACGATGCACGTAAACGGGCATTCAACACACGGTGCGAAGCAAGAAATGGGTAAGTTTTAGTTTTTAAATTAATTGTTTTAAAAAAAGAGGAAGGAAAAGGATTGGAAATTCTTATGAAATGTGTATTAGTACATTAACCTTTCGCAGACGATTGACGCATATGTGTGTCTAAACATAATTCTTATAGTAATTTATATTCCTGTACATATTGTAGTATATTCGTGATACAGAACACCGCTATAAGTGTAGACAGTAAAGATTTTGAATTTTGACAGTAAAGTAATTGAATGTGCTTTGAAGGATAGAGTTATTACTTATTTTACTTTAAATTAATTATACTCTGTGTAAAAAGAATACTCCCTTCTCAAAGAGTTAATCATTATCATTATTGATAAATTATTGAGGGAAAAATAATCAGATGGATGTTGATTTACTGAAGAAGAATATTCAATACTTTATTATACAAAGTGTCCCACCTAACTTAAGCAGTTTAATATGTCGCTTGTTTCTGATATGACCTGAAGAAGAAAAATTGATTACATTTAATTATGTCATTTTTTACACTTTACAATTTTTGTTTAGACAATATTTCAATTAGTATGCATTTGTATAATTAACCCTTAAACAATGGAGCTTGGGTTAACCGTGACCCAAATTTAAAAAATATAGGTATACAAAGATGTTAACCTAAAGTTGGATATATAATTTTTAAACAAAAGAGTTTCATATATGAGAAGAATAATTTTTAAAGTAACAGTGTAAAATTTAGAAAATGAAAATAATATGGAATACAAAATTACATTAAAATTGTGGCTCTCTCCATGGTCCGTCGTCTGAGAGTTAATTGATAATTAAAATATTCAGACAGTGTATAAATGAAACTTGAAATACCTGCAGAGAAGCATAAAAATTGCTGAAATTCCGTCCAGTCGTGAACAACAGTACTTAACATAAAGAAAGAATGATAAGAACTAAAAATAGCAACAAAGATATTGCCATATCTCCGATTGAAATGGCACTCGTAATTTTAGAATTCATAGCCGCGAAGGAAGTACGGGTCGTAACGTTACAACTCGTAAATTTCACGATTTCAATGGCGTCACGCGAATACTTTGCCGCAGATCGAATGTGCGTCGTAAATGGAAAGAATAGAACTTGTATAGTGGTGGTCGGTGGCACTTGTTATATAAGCCATTCAAGGTGCCACGATGACGTGTTACGAAGGTGCGCCGTGCTCATCCTGTTCTTTCATTTAATATCGATCCTTCATTTGACTTTCCAGGCAACATAAACTCGTGTAACGGTCCCGGCTGGAATTTCACGGAATTCCAATGTTCAACATGCACCTAAAAAATATCAATTGAAATACCGACGACATTCCATCGAGTTGTCGAGTTCCATTTAATGCAACGTGAAGGATTTGATTTTTGTTATTTTTTGAAGAACGAATTTATTACGATCAAGAAAAAGAATCACGTTTTATTTTAAAAAATATTTTTAAATGCCAGAGAAAATAATGTACATATCCAATGTAGCCATTGAGCGTTAAGGTTAACTGTTTCATGAAGGAATTTTATACACTCAAGGTATATGGGCTTATTGCATTTTTCCCATATACAGGGTGTTTCATTTTAATCTTTCTACGCAATTATCTGCTTATAAAATCACTTGTTTTTAAATAAATGTTTGAAACAGAACTGATTTACTCTATTTCGAGAAGGATATCTTACCATAAACACGAGTCTTGTTTAAGTAGAGGTAGTGTACGTAAAAAATATGTAAAAAATTTTTTATATAGATTTATACATAGGGTAAAATGTTAAGACACTACATATATTTACCTTGGACTAGAAAAAATAAGATGATTTATAATATATATTGATACGGGCAAAAATTAATATTGTCTTATATCAACAATACATTCTCGTTCAAATAAGATGCCGAGAGTCAAATAGTTAATTCTTCGAACTCCCTGGACCAAAGGCATTCGTAATTCAATATGTAAACGTAAAGTGTTGAAATATAGATAAGGGCTAATGAAGCTGGCCCGCCTGGCATGAGCACTTTTGGTCTTCGCCAGTCAGTCGTTCTAGAAAAGCGCAACGGAGAACATTCACAGTTATAAATATATTCTGGTTTCTTTTATTTTCATTTTTATCCTACTTCCTAAAACTAATAATATAAAACCAAAAATTTGTTTTTTTAGCAGTATTATAGCTCAAGCAATATGTTTGATTTTCTGTATGATCTATTAATTAATTTACAATATCTTATATATTAATGTCTACAATAATATAAATGCATAGAATTAAAGTTTCAAACATTTTATTAATTTGCAAAATTTAAATTGGCAAAATCGTTTTCTCTTCAGTAAAGAAAATATATGGAAAAATATCATATTGTAAAGTATACAAGTATGCAACGTGTACACTATGCAGTGTGTTAATTTTTGTTACAGGTGGAGGCGTTTCGGAGATTTGAAGGACAACTTTGTTTGTTTAAATAGAATACTATATTTTTTATACAAAAATGTGGTAGAGTATCGAATTATGAATAAAAAAGTATTGACCTTTATTAGCCCTAAACCTAATAGGTAACGAGTAATTTCACTTTATTACTTGAAAATTTTCTTCACGTGATATCAAGTAATATTAAGTAATATCCTTAATGCCAATGGATATCACTTTGAACACTTACGTTAGTTGCGATAAGCCACACTGTCACGTAAACACCGTTGTCCTGTGGAAATCTGTGATAAGGTAGAATCTCCAACTTGATATTACGTGAAGAAAATTTTCAAGTTATAAAATGAAATTACTCGTTACCTATTAGGTTTAGCGCTAATAAAGGTCAATACTTTTTTATTCAGAATTCGATACTCTACCACATTTTTGTATAAAAAATATAGTATTCTATTTAAAAAAATAAAGTTATCCTTCAAATCTCCGAAACGCCTCCACCTGTAAAAAAAATTAACACACTGAATAGTGTACCTTTTTAAACCATGTAACTTTTGTATATAACATTTTTTCGTGCAACGCGTATTTTGAAAGTTATAAAGGTGCACACGTTGCGTGGACCACCCTGTATATGGGTATATATCAGTTTATAGTATTTTTTTTTACATTAAGTTCATTGCTTACTCAAAAATCTTAACGAGTGTTTGCTCAATTTAAAATTAGGACATATAACTGATAGTACAACCAGGAAGGTTATTTTATAACTCGGACCTGTATAACAACACTAAAACAATTTACCTTACCTCTTTCTTCCAATATGGATCCATCTTACACATATTTTGCATACATATATTACGTATGTACGTGTTTGAATTATGTTTTAAATAAACAAACTTGAATCAAGGAGCCGACAAACTGATGTTTCAACAAATCGCATTATCAATAAAAAAGTACACATGGTCGTCATTATTTCCCTTTGGATCAGTGAGAGGGTAAATGAGGGGGATAGTTTGCGAGTAGCTAATTAGCCATGTTTGTTCTATAGCGATTTTTATGATGTGAATAAATATAATATACATATGAATACATGTATACCGCAGTTCACCAGAGTTCATAACTGCGACGCGCAGGTTGGAAGATGGTGGGGGAACGCAGCGAGCTCTCCGCTAATCGCTTTCTACTTCGTTTGGGAGTATCGCCAATCAGGGCGGAGATGCGCACGAAAGAACGAAAACTGGTTTTTTCGCAGTTATGGACTCTGGTGAACTGCGGTATACATACAGGATGTTTCAAAACGTATGATCTGAAAATCGCAGATTCTTCTCGCCGGGTTGGTTATCGGGAACGAACCGACGCGACACAGTGGTTCAGAAATGGAATTCAGCTGGTCGGGCTTCGCAATGAAGAGAATAATTTGTAATTTTTTAAGTAATGAGATTTATTATCTTACGTTGTTGTGGTATACGTCGCTGGGCGACTGTATAGCTAACATTGGGAGTGACAGAAAAAATGTTAGTAGTAAGCCTTGTAACTTGAATTAACAATATACCATAAGCGGCAAAAATTTTTAATGGTTCTTACTTTGATGGGACATTGCAACTGAAGAACGCGATACAAAGTATAAAAATGATCTAGGTATTTATATACTGTTAAACCGAGGTTTACAATTGTTCAGCACAATTGCCGTGGTATTAAAGTATTGTCTCTATATTACAACCTTTGCTCGAGTTAAATATTGTAGAATTAAGTTAATTAATATTATTTTCGATTCAGACGAAGCAAGAATCTTATCCTTTTCGGTTTTGATAAACACCAGCAAACGAAGGTTAGAGTGCAGCAATTAAAATAATGCCTAACAGTCAATTAACGTAAGTACTGTATGGTTAATAATGACTCAACAAGGACTTGAATATCCGATCTCACCTAGTTCTTCGTAAAATGAACCGTACTGGTTACGTACTGATCGTTTATTGATCTCTAACTGAACCCGAACTGTTATCGTCGCCACTTTTTTTAAAAGTGGCTGGTAATTATTTATTTTAGCGATTCCTCACCGATTTCGATGACCTTGAAATATGTTGTCAAGGTCACAGTTTTGAACATTTTTTCTCTATACATGTTACCGCCGCTCGGCCTCCGTTTTCGAGATATTTCCAAAAATAATTTTATGTCTGAATTAGCCTCGGGCTGAGTTGGAGATAAATTAATAAACTTTATTCTCAATTATTATTAATGGAGATTGTAAAAATTTCTGCCATTATATCAAAAAATTCTTGTATTAAAATCATACTTTAGCTGAAACAAAAATTCTGCAATGTAACCGACATAATGCTCTTTCCGGGTCCCATATCGTGGAATATTGGCTCTTGTTTGGCGAAAAGACCAGTTTTCGTTCTTTCGTGCGCATCTTCGCCCTGATTGGTGGTACTCCCAAACGAAGTAGAAAGCGATTAGCGGAGAGCTCGCTGCGTTCCCCCACCATCTTTCAACCTGCGCGCCGCAGTTATGGACTCTTGTGAACTCCGCTATATGTACTTAGCTTCTTATTTTTTAGTATGCAGGGATCGATATACCATGCGCCGATCCTGTTTCATGCCCAAGAATTTGTATACAACTTACTGATTCGTATCGTTGGACGGACTATACGTGTCGCGACGAAAGTGCGACGTTGACGCATCGTAGACGACCGTCCATTTTGCTTTATGTACTGGCTGCAGGAAGGCGTACAGTAAGCAACTACGCGACGCGTTGTGAACGAACGATTTAAAATTGATACTTTGGCGCAAGCAAAATAGTTTGATCCATCATGCAGTTTCGTATCGGAGAATATTTCTTAAAGTTTAACAACAGCGAAGAAATGCTTGAACACATAGTGGCATTTTTTAAAATAATTCAAAAGTATCCATACTTATACGACCAAACTTTATCGGGGTATTTATGGGAATATCTTAAAGAAAATTCATGGAAAGAGGTAGCAAAAGAAATGAAATGTTCAGGTAAATATTATTATTTAATTAATTAACAGAAATTTCACTACCATGGCGGAGCAATCCGTTGCTTTAACATTTGATATTTGTTATTAACAACGACCACATAATTTTTTCCCTTCCTTACAATATATATATATATATTCTTAGATAGGTACTGCATATGTAATTACTGTCATAAAATCAAATTTTTTAATAAATATTTCTTATTCTATGCATTATTTATATAGTTTATTAGGTTTTAAGAAATTTTTAATTTTGTACATATGTAGGTTACCATCTTTAATCTTAACCTTTAGACTGTAAACGTTTTTACGATACCTTCAAACCGTAAATGTGGATCTTTCGTGTCAAATGCACTTTTTAGTTAGTAATAATTCTTAAAAAATCTATAAAAATTCATATAATATCTCTAGCTGTTTTAAATTAAAACTATCACAGCGATTTTCACAAATAAAATACGTAGGAGAGATCAAAATTGTTTGAGATCGTCCATATACGAATAACCCTCCTTTATAGGTCAAGGGTTAAATTTAAATTAAATATGTCGATACTATCAGTAATTCAAAAATTAAATGACTAATAGTTCTTAAAAGTTGGTAAATGAAGAAATAATTATCGTGACTTTCATTAAACTGTAATGCAAGTCATAACCCGAACGCTACGGGGTGCAAAAAATTACTGCTATACGTATCTACAGGGTGTTACCTGTAACATTACTCACGATTTTTTACCCACTTGCAGCCATCTGGCAAAAAAAAGTTTAGAACAAGAGTTGCAGGGTATGAAGTGCACAATAAATATCAGTAAAAAAATGTCGAAAACAGTTTATTTTGGTGGCTAAATCAAGGTCACCTTGGGTTTTACGAATAGGAACACATATTTTTTTTTTCTACCATATTGTAGAGGACATCGATACGAATTCAAAACACATATTACATGATATTTTCACTAACATATTACTTGATTTACAAAAGTGGAAATGTGAAGTATTTAGCTTTTCGTCGTATTTGACTCTGACAGTGTAAACATTATTTCACCCCAAAGAGATTACTGTAAACACGCGTAATGTAAACACGCGACTAGAACATAAGAAAAATGCACTTTATTTAATTACATGTTCGAAATGCATTCCGCCTTCTGCTAAATACTTCACATTTCCACTTTTGTAAATCAAGTAATATGTTAGTAAAAATATCATGTAATATGTAGTTTGAATTCGTCTCGATGTCCTCTACAATATGGTAGAAAAAAAAATATGTGTTCCTATTCGTAAAACCCAAGGTGACCTTGATTTAGCCACCAAAATAAACTTTTTTCGACATTTTGTTACTGATATTTATTGTGCACTTTATACCCTACAACTCTTGTTCTAAACTTTTTTGGCCAGATGGCTGCAAGTGGGTAAAAAATCGTGAGTAAAGTTACAGGTAACACCCTGTATACCGCAGTTCACCAGAGTCCATAACTGCGACGCGCAGGTTGGAAGATGGTGGGGGAACGCAGCGAGCTCTCTGCTAATCGCTTTCCACTTCGTTTGGGACTATCGCCAATCAGGGCGAAGATGCGTGCTGGAGATGCGCAAAGAACGAAAACTGGTCTTTTCGCAGTTATGGACTCTGGTGAACTGCGGTATACTTATGTATTTATTGGTTTATAATAGCGTTAATAAGTTGATTAGTTTTCATCGTCAGTGTGAACTATGTACGAGGTGAAAACATATTTTATTAATTTATTGTGCACACTTTTTTAAATAATAAACGATAAGTTAAATGGTGTTAAAATTTCATATCCTGAAAACATTTGGATAATAAACAGATTACATTATTTTTGTATAACACATGTGATATTTTCTGAGTATGATAGCAGTATTAATATTTTGTCGGATAGCCTCTTTTATTTAAGAACTTCTGGATCATTCCATGCCAAATATGTAGATTACTTTTTAACGTCGATGCGATGCCAGATATAATAAATAATTCCAAATATAATAAATAATTATCAGACCCATGCTGTTTAATTCTTTTTTAAATCTTTTCGTTCACAGTTATTCGAATTTATTTACTTTATTTACTTATAATTATAATGACACAAAAATATCTACACTCGCGATCAAATCAGATTTGCACGAGGAAAGTGATGATTTCCCCTAGACTTCCCCGGGGAAAATGACAGTGTAGTGAAAGAGGCCCCGTATTTCTGTAGCCTCCTACCAGTGATGTGCAATTGTTGGATTTTTTTGCGTGTGCATGCTTAAATAACATTCCAACTAAAGACATCACGCGATACCATAGCTGTATACATTACACATCTGAAAGTGGCCCGCGTATTTTCAGCAGTTTTTCGTATAATAAATTGGCTGCAGTCACAAAAAAATAGTAAAACAATTTATTAATATTATTTATATAGTATTGTATTTTATTAAATTAAAGTTCTCTCCCTTCCTTAAAATTTCTGGAACCCAATGATACCTTCATATTTAAAAAATGTACCTAGGTGAACACGTCATTGAGTCGCTTCTAGTGCTTTTTTAGTACGCATGTGCCAGAAATCTCGCACTGCATATCACTGTCTTCTACCATTTGCGTATAAATGTCTACGCGGGAAAATTTGAATTAACATTTAGTTTGTTATCCGTATTTCTCAATTATATACTGAATTCTATAATACATAATAATTAAAAATTATATTTTTTTTCTAAATTACTTTCAATATTAAAATCATCAAAATTAGGATTTTGAGAATTCTTGCTCTTCCTATGGCGCTATTTTTTCTAGGGAAGCCTGATTTGATCATGAGTGTAATAAAAAATCTAACTAACCTGTTATTAAATATCTCAAAGCAAACTATCATTTATTATTTAATATTATTCATGTATGTATGATTTATTACACGCCCCTTACGAGATATTTAATATTATTCATATTTTCTGCTTTCTACAGTTAACACTTGTAAAGAGATATGGATCAATATTCTATACATAATGCTTCTAAGCAAACTGCTAAAATTAAGTTTCCCCGATACGTTGGAGTTTGTGTTTTTCATGGAGAAAGAAACAAGAGAAACATTGCCTTCGATTCTAGAAGATCATTTGATGTCACCAACAAAAAACAAATGGTTCTCCTGCAGACGATTATGGGAAATCATTTCTCATTGGTTTGCTTCCCTATTTTCATAAATTTTCAGACAATGAGATGCGAAACTTTAAAGTCAAAGTTTTAATGTTGTTGGACGAAATTAACATGGTCGCAACATGATGAACGCATTAAATAAGAACCAACTGGAGAAAAATCACCACCACCTTGCGTTATTTCACATGTCACCTACTTCTTCATCCATCGATTCTGTTACCACTACATAGTTTCAACCTACTTCGTTATATTTTACTTCTAGCTCTGTTCAGTATGATACATTAACACTACAAACTATGGTAAATACACTTATGATTAATGATTCAATTCAAAAATAAATTTTTTAATTTTACGTCTTGTGTGTTTTTGCGTTCTTACAATATAGAGTGTCTTTTTTATCCAAATACGTTGGAATGTTTCATTACCTTACTGGAATGTAGTTAATAACATAGCTTAAACTTTGTATAATTATAATGATCCCATAATTAGAGTAAGTGCAGCATGTTTGGAATACTGTTGGTAAATTAAAATGCTGAAGTATCTGTTTCAATAGTGCAGAATTCCGAAATTTTAAAGCACTAGAATTCTAGATTTAAAATTCTAAAATTCTAAAATTCTAAAATTCTGAAATTCTGGAATTCTGAAATTCTAAATTTCTAAATTTCTAAATTTCTAAATTTCTAAAATTCCAAAATTCTAAAATTCTGAAATTCTGAAATTTTAGAATTTTATGTGATATCCAGGGCTATAGCTCCCCTTAGACTTCCCCTTAATCCGGTACTGAATGTAACATATAACATTTTTCCACTTTCTAAAAATATAGTAATTAATGCAGAAGGAAATATTGAAAGGTACCAATGTACTCTTTATTAACTTTGTTTATTGTTGGGCAAATTATAACATCCACCGTTTTTTTCAGCAATAACCCTCTCGGACCTGCATCGTTTGCATCCCTGCATGCAACCTACTAGCGTAAAAGAGAATTAATTAAAACTACAGATTGATGAGAAAAGACAAAATATAATCCGTCAAAAAAATTTCTGCCAAAACATAAATTTTATGAAAATGTAACATAAAACGTTTTTCCCACATTTATTTATTATTGATATTTCTCAGATGTACATACAACTTGTTCTATACTAAATTCTATAATATTTAAGAATTAAAAATTATATTATTTTATTTCTAAATTACTATCAATATTAATATCGTCAAAATTAAAATTTTGCGAATTTCTGCTTCTCCTACATTACCATCTTCCCTAGTGTACTTAACATCTTCAGGGACCAATTTTTTTAAAATGAAAAGGAATGATTTAAATTTTTATTTAATTTTTTTCGGTGCTGTCATACGACAAGTTTTTTGTTTTTTCTGTTGAAAGATTCTGTAGTGAACAGTTCACCAACAAATTTTAATTCTTTAGTCTCTTAAAATAATTTTAATTTTAAAACAACTAAACGTACACACATGTATTAGTGCCGAAGGATGTAATTACACTTCCTGCGTTTTCAGTGCAAAATATAAATAAAAATCTTTGGCTGTGTTAGTATTTGTAAAATTGTATTGATTTTTAAGAAAGTAGCTATAAAAAGAAAATTAAAAATTAAGAACTTTTTGTTAGCTTGGAGTGTGTTTACCTCCCTTTGCATAAAGAGAAAGTGAAAATTGGAATGTTACACTTGTTAACCCCTCTTAGTTAATATAATATAATGGAGCTTCTTAAAAATCTATGATTTAGTAGTAGATGCAGGGGTCAGTTGGCGAAGAGCTTCAGTTCCACTTGGCTTGGCCTTATTTTGCGGATTGTTTCATCCGCTGGAATCGTGCCGGAGGATGACATAACAGAAATAATGTTAGTAGAACAACTCGTACGATATAGGACAAACGATTTCAAAGAATTGCTAGGGTGTGCCCAATATCCAGGATGTGATTCGTTTATCGAGGACGATCCTAAAGGGTAAATCGGACGTATATAATCTCATCACAGGAAATGACTGCGATCGTTCAGCTTGCACTTACGCGATGGATGTTCCACATAAAAGAGAAAAAATTCTCGTAACATTTATTATAGACGTCATGTAGAAAAATTTGTAGTTAAAATAGCTTTCTAGAAATGTTGTGTTTAACCATAAAAAATTGTAGATAATTTTAAATAAATTACATAGAGAATAAGATGTTTGAATTTATTATAAAATTATATTTTTGAAAGATTACATAAGCTAATGTACATAAGCTGTGTATTAAATAGTTATGAAATTGGAATATTAGGCTATGGTAACCCTTGAATACCTTTCAAATTTTTATTGAATTCGTATCATTTGGTATACAGAGCTAAATAATATTTGACTCGACGAATACATTTCACAAGTACTTACCTTTAATTAATAATAAACAGTAAATAAATATATAAATAGAATGTTCTTTTAAGAAGTTATTAAATATTGGATCTTCATTTCGAGTCTATTCATCCTGTCTGAATGAGACAGGAGGGTTAAAATTTTTTGATTAAGTATTGTATAACATAATAGAATGTCAAACAGTTTTTAAAAATGTAATATGTAATATATGTATATTAGCCTAGAAATGTTATACAATATGCTATCGAGGCTGCATAAGAATTTGAATTCAATTTAATGATACATAAATAAGTAACATATATGTCAATTACCAAAAATGTATAATTCGAAACATAGAAAAATTTAGGTAATATGTAAAGTAAATGTTAGTAAAAGAAAAGAAAAGAAAAGAAGATACTATTGAAAAGAAATAAAGATACTATTGGGTAAATGCAGATGTCCACAATACTCCCCTACATGGTGTTTGTAATTAGGGTAAGTTGCTCAAGTCGTACCCCTTAAGAAAAAATTCGTATAAATGTTAAAATTTATCAAATAAATAAGAACTATATGTGTTATTTAAAACTTGTGTGAACATTGATATTATTTATTATAATAAATTTCAAACACTAAATATTTAAAAACTTATAGCGGTACCACTTACAAGGGGAACTACCTAAGTGTCACACTCACTTATTAATGAAACTTTGCCAGCTTGTAGAGCTCGTCGAGCTGAACACGCCTATACCCCGTTTTGTGGGCAGACGACTAATTGTTTAAAAGATATTAATGATTAAAGTTAGTTATTACTTTCATTGAGAAGTATGACAGACTCACACATACAACTCGCAATCTAAAGATCCACGGTTCAAATCCTTGATTCCCAACATTAATTTTTTTTTTAATGATAATTTGTCTCTTTTTGAATAACTATTACATAAAAATTATCATAAAAAAAAAATTTTTTGGGAATCAAGGATTTGAACCGAGGACCTTCAACTTTTAAGTCACGAATCTGTTCTGTGGTTAAACACATGACTCGTAATCTGAAAGTCCTTGGTTCAATTCCTGGGTTACCGTTTGTTTTTTTTTTTTATTTTTTTGTTTATTGATAATTTTTATGTAATAGTCATTCAAAAAGAGACAAATTATCATTACAAAAAAAAATGTTGGGGACCAAGGATTTGAACCGTGGATCTCTAGATTGCGAATTATATGTGTAAGTTTGTCATACTTTAGAATGTAAGGAGTAACTAACTGTAATTGTTAATATCTTTTAAACAATTAGTTGTCTGCCCACAAAACGGGGTATAGGCGTCTTCAGCTCGGCGAGCTCTACAAGCTGGCAAAGTTTCATTAATAAATGAGTGTAACACTTGGGTAGTTCTCCTTGTTAGGAAACTGGTTTCTTAAATGGTACCACCTATAAGCAAAAATAATAATTAAAGCCTATTTCTTTATTAATCTGTTTGCATATGTTACAAATTCAGTTAATACAAACATCACACACATATTTCTTTATTCTTTTGTTAACTCCAGCGCATAGATCACGCACCCATGCTTTACATTTCAAGCATCGAATCATATTTTCCTCCCGGTCTTCTGCACAAATATTACAAAACCAATCAGTATCAGTTTTATTGGTTTTCTTTTTTTTTTAATGTAGGTACCTTTTCTGACTACTTCTTTTCTTGTATATATAGATGCCGTTACATGCGTAGTTGTCGTCGTATTAAATTAAAAATTCAAAAGGTACTACTTAGACACAGGTACGACTTGAGCAATCGTACCCTATCTCAAATAGGACAAAGGTTACAAAAGATTTAAAATAAAACAAATCTTAACGTATACACTGTGCACATACGAAGTGATTTGATCCAATTTTAAGAAAGGTATTCTGTTTTACACGCTATCCGAATGCTTATTCGATCCATTATAAGTAGTCTTCCGTTTATAACTAAAAAAATCTGCATAAATTACATTTTATTATTTTGGATAAAATAATACTAAAAGTTAATTATTTAAAATTAACTTATTCGGAGAAGAATATAACTAGACTAATCGTAAGACGTCAGAATGTAAACATAGCTATAAAAGTAAGCGCTGCCAATGACATACATTGTTGAAAGGCTATAGTTTTGAAAGAGCAGTACGATAAAAAAACTTTTTCTATTCTTTTCTAAAATCCAATAAGAAATTGGTACCTAAATTACAAATAAAATAACAAGTAATAAAATACCTTATTTAGAACGTAATATTAATTAAAATAAAGTAACAAACATCAAAACATTTTTATTAAAATGAAAGTTTATTTCGTTAATGCTGAGTCCTGTTATCAAATCATATATAATTAACAATTGGGGATTTATATTGTGTATATCCTTTATTATTCATCTCAGTTTGTCATTAATGTAATTTGATAAGGACCAGGGTAGATTTGGCCACTCTGAAAATGTCGACTGGCCCCATCACCATTCTAAAATTTCAGGATTTCAAAATTCCTAAAATTGTAAAATCTCATAGTTCCAATATTTCAGAAGTTAACAATTACAAAACTCTTAAATTTCATAATTTCGAAATTTCTAAGGCACTTGGCCCACCGCCAGTGTAGCTTTTATCTACTTTTGACATATTGTTAACAAAATTTTTTAATATAATTATTAAGAAAGTATATGAGAAATTTTTCTTTATTTCGCGTATTATCATTCGCCTTTAAAGTTTTCCTTTGTCTGCCAGAACTGATTAAATTATTATCTGTAACATATTTTTTCCATTTATCATACATCTTTATAGCTCCTTTAATTGAAATTTCATATTTGTTTGCAGTTTCTTTGAACGTTAATACACTTTCTCTGTTTCCAACTATTAACTGTTTAATATTCATAAATCTTCTATCAAGTGTTCATCTACGTAAATAAAAACTCAGATAATGAGTAAAATTGACGTATGCATAAAAATGCAATGCATTTGCTGAACGCGTCGAACCAAATGGATTATTTACGTATCATGCAAATAAATATAGTCAACAGATATCTATAATACGTACACACATGTATATCGTACATGGTGAAGGATAGCCTAGAATACACTTAGTATAAAAGTCATAAACATTCGTATACACAAGTGCCTATTTTAAACTTTCTTTTGTCCGCTACTGTGCTTGCCATCGATGTGAATTTTAAAACTAGTGATCTGTTAAAATTATCAGTCATTTGAAATTTCCATTTAAGGTAAAATAATTGTACCTATGACGCATGGTAATTTCTCCAAGTATTTTTATTTCATATTAAAAATATTCGATAAAGTTCCGAAAGCGACAACACTCCGATTTTTCTGAAATTTTTGCCAAAGCTTATCTGTAATTAGAGAAGAAAGTCCCTAAAAGGATTTTTGGCGACAAAGCCTCATTTGCCACCCAGCCCCTTCAAAGTTTTGACAGTTCTTACTAAATATCTCCGAAAATATTGATTTTAAAGAAAAAAGTTTCAAACAAAAAATGAAGCTCATAAAATGCTTTACAAAAAAGGTTATACACATTTTTTACGTAAACCTATTATTTTGGCTGTTGTGAACAATAATAGTATTCTTTCCTGTACATGTACGTATAATTATTATTGATGTATTTAAGTTAGGTCAGGATGCTTTCGTTTACGCATATTTTTATAATTAATTTATTATTATTTCATGAAAGCGTTGCCGGAAAGTGCAGATTATGTGTTCGGAACAGATCGCCAATTATACTGCGTTGTGTCGGTAAGGTAGGGAATGATATCAACGATAGTATCGAAATTACTATTTGTTTACATAACATCCAAAATAATAGATTTACGTAAAAAATGTGTATAACCTTTTTTGTAAAGCATTTTATGAACTTCATTTTTTGTTTGAAACGTTTTTCTCTAAAATCAATATTTTCGGAGATATTTAGTAAGAACTGTTAAAACTTTGAAGGGGGTTGGGGGACAAACGAGGGTTTGTCGCCAAAAATCCTTTTAGTGACTTTTTTTTCTAATCAATGGTAAGCTTTTGCAAAAATTTCAGAAAAATCGGAGGGTTGTCGCTTTCGAAAGTACACCTGAGGAAAAATAATTATTCCTATGACGCATGGAATTTTCTAAAAGTATTTTTATTTCATATTAAAAATATTTTTCGTTTGACCCAGAAATAGTAGTTTTACATGGGAAAAATATTTTTTAAAAAAATAAGAAAAAAACGTATAAAGCATACGTGTTTTTCATGCGTGTGTAGCAACGCTCGTGACCCCAGTCAATGGCTTTCGTAGCGTAGTGGAGTATCATCTGGATTATCTGGAGTATCTAGAACGTATTGATCGCGCCTAAGCAGCTGTACCTCGAGCTGACAGTATCGTTGGGGCGCCCGCTCGAGAGGCACACGTGTTACACGCTCTCACGGTCGAACCATCGCATCGTCGGCTTTCGCGTCCTTCCATCAGTCGAGGGAAAACTCGTGGAAAAGCGTAGAGACGCGAACCGATCGAACCGACTCTTTCGAAACAGTGTCGCAAACGAAATCGTCACGGGTTTGTTGGTACGCGAATTTTTTTCTCCCATCTTCGAGCTGACACGTAGTTCAAAACGACGACATCGTGCCAATTCGGCAATTTGTTTATTCTTCACTCTCGCCTTGACAGCGGTTCGCGGCGTGTGCACGCCTTGTGAAATCGGAGTGAATATTTTTTTTAAAGAAGATACAGTGAACGTGGGTGGATCGGTGAAATTTCAAACAGTTTAAATTGTGTTTTCGTTATTTTTTATTTTTTTTCCTCTTCTAAATGAACAAGCGGTGTTAAGTTTGGACGCGATGTTTGAACGGCGATTTGTAGGTGACGAAAATTGCTTTACATTGTGGTTTTAGGGAACAAAGGTGTTGAATTTTAAGCACCTCTTCTCGTTTGGATGCTTGTGCAAATTTTGGAAGCCTTGCCTCTACCTATTTCATTATCAAATAAAATATACAACTGGATTCAGGTTCAGTGCTTAAAACATTGAAAAATATACCGATATTATTTTTATGCTGTTTAGAGTTTTCAGCAGAAAATTACAAATAGCATCAATTTTTAATAGAATCAGGTAAAATATTATATTCATTGAATTTATCTCATGTGACTTATTTTAAATGAGCTCGTTCCACACTTCTGGAATCTATTTGGATATTTAGTTAGGAGCTCAAAGTTTTTAAATGAATTTCATATTTAAAATAATATTTAAAGGAATATTAAATAAATATAAATAATATTTAAAGAAATATTAAGGAAATATAAATAATATTTAAAAAAATATGAAAGAAATAATTTAAAATGAAGCATAATATCCCTTCCAAGAATTAATATATGGTTTTATAAATTAAATTTGATTAAAAACCTTTATTATTTATTAAAATTTATCGTTATTAAGTTTCTCATTGATTTGCTCCAATTGATTGAAAACGTATCAATGATCAGTGTTATTTATAAGCAGATATGTACAGGATATCTCATTCTAAAATATAAATGGTGAATATTTTCATCACTGTCAATGGTACCGAAAATAACTTTAAATAGAAGTAGAATGGTTTCAAGGACGACATAATTGAGTGTAACTAGCTTTTTTGTCGGTAGACGTATAAAGGATATATGAAGGTCAAATTTTTTTTCACATGAAATCATATATCTTCTGATGAATCAGTAGGTGTATTCCATCATGAGTTACCTAGGCTTGACTATTTATCCAAGGAAATTATTAGTTTCAAAAATATTTGAATTTCATTATTGCGCAGTGGTACCGGTACACTTGTCAATATTTACCTTCTCTTTATTTTTAAATAACTCTTGGTATTTTCTTGTACAAAATGATAAGGAGTAATGGAACAACTTCAATGATCTCGTTATTTCGCATGATTTTATCGGTTTTGGGAATGTGTACTACGACGTGGGTAAATTGGATACGAATATAACAGTATTTGATGACACATCAAAAGATATTATCTGGTTGACATAAGCATCGAAACGGCTTCATTGATAACGAATTGTATTTTCTTAAATGACAAATTTCAATGAATCAACAGATTTTTAAAAACTTAATTTTATTTTTAAATATGCCATATCTATCACCGATTTCAGTGAATTTGATATACATTATAAAGGTCAGTGTCCTAAATAAATTCATTTATATATGTATATTATCGCCACTCTGTTTTAATTTGAAAGAAACAGAAGGCTTAGAATGAACTCCGGGAATAGTATAATTAGTAGTGAGTAGGGTGCCACGGTCTGAATTCTTTACAAATTTTTACATCAGTATATTAAATAAATAAAAATTACAAATCATATTAAACTTAATATGCATTATTATCATTAGGAACTTAGACTATTCCAGTCATTATATCAAATTGAATATAATTATTCAATTATCAAGGTCGCATTATCACTGAAACAAAAATGTACATAATTCTAATTCCAGCAATATTAACCCTTAGCTGGCACATTTTACCAGATTAACATGACTGCACACTGGGACGTTTAAGACCCCAACCACAAAAATATTTCCTGCGAAGAAGCTATTCATTATTTTAACTTGGAAAACTTCCTAAATAATCTTTGAAAATTGTTTTAACATATTTCATAGCTAATTTTAGTAAAATTAAATACTGAATAGAAAAGAAAAATTGTAAAACGTAGAAAAATCGAAAAAATGACAGTTTCCACACAAAAATTCATAACTTTTTCAAATTTTCATATAAAGAGCTAAAATTTTAGCTGGACACTCTTGAGATTGAATATTTTAAGGAAAAGAATAATACAAAAGTCGTGGTTTCAAAAAAGGTATTTATTTGCAGAGTTGAAGGGACGAATTTTAACCAAAAAGAAAAAAAGCTGAATTAGCTGAGGTCGTCTCATATCCCACAGTGCCAGCTAAGGGTTAATATTAAAAGTACCTACTTTACAAAAAAATATTACAATTTTTAATTATTGTAAAGTAAATATTCATTCAAATTTTTCCGCGTAAACTTTTATGTGCGAGTACATTTGGCAGCCACAAACCTGTACATACATATATGGGGCCCCTTTCACTAGATTGTCATTTTCCCCGGGGATGCCTAAGGAGAAGGGAGAAACTCGGGAAAGGGACATTACCCTTTCTCTCCTGATTTAATCGCGAGTGTACAAGGTGCTAAAAAAGAACTATTCAATATTCATGTAGGGTATACTATCCTGATTAAAAAGCTTTAGTAAACATAGGTCGAAAAATCAACTGTTACCGTGATATTATCATTCTTTTATGTTAGCATCGTGATAGAATTATTATTAGCTTCTCGGCATTTAGAGAAGATGTTCCACATAGGTATCCTCCTTCTATTTCCACACATTGGCATTGAATTTTGGAAACATACAGGGTGTCCCAGAAAGAGTGTTAATCTTTTGAATATGTAATTGCTGAGGGGATTCTAAACAACTTTTCCTTTTGCCAAAATGTTGGCTAAAGCTTCATTTTTTCAATTTTTAGCGAAAAATACTGTCCAATTAGAGCGCGTGTAGAGTGCGGTTGAACCGCGAGAATATTGGCTACTGATTACCAGACATAGCGTGAACTGCTACTCATAAATCACTTGTTCGTTCCCGATCACGGTGATTTTTCACAGTGATTCCTGGTCCTTATTGATCGCTTCTGATCGATGTACGTATCATCGCTACACGATGTAAGCTTTAGACAATTTCGAATTGTCGAAATAAATTTTTGATTTATATTATAGGCAGCTATTTTTATGCAAGCTATATTGAATTCGATCAAGATCAAGGATTACGATCACAGTGAGCAATTACACAAAGTAAAAAAAAATTACAATCACGGTCAGGAATGAAGTTGAATCACGGTTATGATGGTGATTTTGCGGTCACTATGATAAATCATTGTTAGTGATTATGCACGCCATCCCTACTGATTACGTTCGTACCGTGGCGTGGGTGTGAATAAGCGCGATGGCATGGCACCACATTGACACAATCTCTGAGTTCGCAGATATAAGCAATTGAAAATTGGAATATCAACTTTCGAAGCGCGTGTTTAAATGTTGTGTATCTATCCTGTTTTACATTTTTGTAGATATTTTTTTTAATAAAGCAGTGAATTTTTGTATCAATATTCGCATACATAAATTACATGCTGCCAATCATAAAAATATTTAGACACTAGCATAGTTTCGAATGTTCTACTCTGTATTTTAAAGAATTACACTTATACACTTATAAATAAAAAGAGTGTAGTGTGTTTCATTACAGTCTACAATTAACAATAATACAGAAACTATTTAATTGTTGTAATATATAGCTAATCCTGAAGTCATACAATTAATCGGACTTTTTATAAGTTGACCTTATCAAAATAAAATAGTAATTGTTAATTAAATATTAATATTTTGTAGAGTATTCCTTTTGTTGTATGTTGTAAAAATGTCAAAAAACAATTGTTTTAAAAATAATTAACTTCAATACCTGGTCATTCCTCCGCAAGACGTATTTTTAATTCTATTTTCAAATCTTCTTTTTTATTAATCGTGAAAGATAAATCAAATTCTTAAACCACGAAAAACGAAGCCTACGTAAATAATTATTCATTTTTAATACCTTCTTTAAAGTAAAATTTTTTATTAAACCAGTTATCTGTTCAATATATACTCGAAGATATAAATGAAAATAAATAAATATTTTGAAAATACCCTACGTGGGAAAAATAACATGCTTTTAATATTTTCTAACCCGACGAGCTGGATTAACCGGACTCGACGAGTCCTCCACCCCCGCCTCTCAACGTTTCAAGGGTTAATGCCCATCGAGGTAATTCATGTGTGTTGCTTCTTTTTCATAGGTGGTAAACTGTATTTTAATCGATTGAGATATTTATAGGCTCTTTGATAAAGAGTATTAGCATAGACCCGTTGAGAAAACGAGGTGCAGTATTTATTTAGGATGAACGTTATTAAGTTGAGACCAAAAACTCATTCCACGTCTAGTTACTAATTAATTTCGTAATGAATTCAACGAAGCGTAGCAAAGTAGATTAACTCATTTAGAATCTCTATTAAAGATATTAATAAAAAGAGAAATATTTCTATAAAATTTTATAAATATTTTATAAAAATAGAAAAAAGAAAATGTTCAATCTTACTGATGGTCTCTTACAAGAATATATATCAGTGTCCATCTTCGATTTTGATAAAACTTTGTAGATATATTGGGCAAGTAAAAAAAGGGACCGCAAATTTAAGGGGTGAAACGACCCTTTAAAGTTGAAGCTGAGAAATGCCAGCTCAACAACTATCATTAAAAGAGAATTTCAAAAAAAAAGTTGCTGATTAGAATCTAAAAAATTTGTTTATTATAAAAATTTACATAGTAACAAAAAAGAACCAACATTTTTCTAAGAAATTGTTTGTACTGTGTTCCTTATACTTGGAGTAAGACTACAATTTTTGGTACGTTTGATAAAAAAAAGGCTTCTTTGTTCAATGTTTAAAAAAGAGATCTTCCTAGAACTAACTATAGGTTCGAAGATGTTGATTTATAATAGATTTGGTAGTCGAGGATTGTATCTTATTTTTCATATTATTTTTGTAAAAGTCCTCCAAGGTTCTTAACCATGGAAATATGTACATAACTATGTTAATGCTTCCAAGATTTTCTAGGCCGAAATTGTAATTACGTCTCTATCCGATGTGGTTATCTTTACAATGGAAAGAAAAGGAACGTTAAATGCTTTCTTGTATCTCTAAAAGATACATATACTTACGTAATGCTGATATTGTGCTTGTACACTCCAAGACAAAAACAGTACACCACATAAGTCTCATAATTTTTTCCACGTAAATGGAATGATTGGATACCATGGCTA